TTTCCCGTGGAAAACCTCAGGAACGCCCGAGGCAAACTTTGAAACATTCAAGGAACACCGAGCCCCTCCCCAACGAAAGGGTTCCTTCCTCAGCGCCCCGACTGTAGTTTTTTTTTGTTGTTTGCAATTTTCGGCGTCTGGGGGGCCCTCGCCAGGCCTCGGGGCCGTCAAACAACGACCCTGGACAGAGAGCCAGCCCCAGGGAGGCGGTCCAGACCTCCGGGGGCCCCGCACCGAAACGAATTGGAGCGGCCAGACGTCTGGAGAGACGCGGCGGCTTGTGGAGAGCATCTTGGGTTTCAGGTGGCACGGCGAGCCTCAACGGCGGACAGTTTGCTGAAATGGTGCCTGCCACGTCTGAGGTCACGTTGCAGACCCTGTCTATCGCAAGCCCCTGCCTGTATCGTGTCACGATCTTCACCTGGCGCCGATGGCTTCCTCTGGAGGCCTCTTCTCGGGGGCCCGGACCATTTTTCGAAGCAGGCTTCGAAAGTCCACGTCACCGACACTGGCGCGATGGCAAAGGCAGGCATGTACCGGCCCGTCGCGCGTCTGCCATCATCCTGGGGGCAGCCTTGGAGAAGCAGCATCGAAAAACGCATTGCGGATCTCCTGCGCAGCCAAGTGGAGTGCAGAGTGCACTCGGCTGGCTGCCCGTATTTGCCGCGCGGTTCGAGGCTCTGGGGTGGGCCCAACATTCTCTGGAGAGGCCGTGTCCGGCATTTATTCCTCGTTCGAAAAGAACAGGTTTGGTTTGGCAGTGCTCTGTCAAACAGGTCCCACCAGCCATCTAGGCGCAGGTGGTTCAGGCCGTTTCCTCCCGCTTCTACACACCTTTCGGAGCGGGTGTCAGGGGGTTATCCCTCCCCCTGCCCACTCGCCTGGGTATGGACCCCCCGCCCCCCACCCCGCGACCCCAAGGCGGCTCCAGGATGAACCCAAGTAGCCTCACAACATGGCCTCCAAGATGGCACGAGAGAGCTCAGGATGGCTCAAGGTGGTCTCCAGCATGCCATGCCTCGAGTAAGCCCCAGTACCAACTCAAGACGGCTCCAAGCCAGAGCCTCAGGCTTCTCCCCTTTTCGATCGGCTTCCGAGGCCTCGAGATTGCTCCAAGATCGCCCAAGAGAGCTTCACAGGGTACCCATAAAGGGTCCAGAATGAGCAGGCTCGTACGCGCAGTTTCCCTACAATCAGTGCGTTGCCACGTGACAAGTGGAGCAGAATAGTACTGTTTTGCCCCCTCGCGATGCCACGTGACGAGTCGAGTAGAATAGTAATTGCCCCCCCCCCTGGAGTAGAATAGTATGTGCTCCGCATCCCTCACGGGAGTAGCGTGTACGAGTAGTTCCCCACCCCCGCCTCTATTGCCAGGCCCTGAGCCAAGTAGAGCAAATGTGGTTTCCGCCCCCCTTATGATGGCCACGTGGCGAGTCGAGTAGAATCGTACCTATACGACCACCCTTCGGGTGATAAGGAGGTTGTGGGGGGGGAAAGGGGGGGGGAACCAGCATCTGACCCAATCGATCTCACTATCGATCTCACTCAACGGGACACCACGGGACACCTCGGGACACTTGTCGATCTCACTATCGATCTCACTATCGATCTCACTCAACGGGACACCACGGGACACCACGGGACACTTGTCGATCTCACTATCGATCTCACTATCGATCTCACTCAACGGGTCACCACGGGACACCACGGGACACTTGTCGATCTCACTATCGATTTCACTATCGCTCTCACTCAACGGGACACCACGGGCCACCACGGGACACCACGGGTCACCGCGTGACACCTCTCGATCTCACTATCGGTCTCAATATCGATCTCACTATCGATCTCATTCAACGGGACACCATAGAACACCACGGGACACCACGGGACACCTCGGGGCACCACATCGATCTCAGTATCGATCTCCCTATCGATCTCACTATCGATCTCACTCAACGGGACACCACGGGACACCACGGGACGCTTGTCGATCTGACTATCGATTTCACTATCAATCGCACTCAACGGGACACCACGGGACACCACGGGACACCACGGGCCACCACGGGACACCACGGGACACCACGGGACACCGCTAGGGCCACCGCCGGACGGAGGAGAATCATTTGTCTTGACTTCGCCCTAGCAACGGCGGGTTCATTCCTCTCGTGCGCCCACGCAGCTTCGCCTCGCCCGCACGCACGACACGAACGAAACGAAACGATTTCCCGGTTGGGGGTCTCCGTCCCGCTGCGATCTCACCCCCCAACCTCCGATTCTGCCCGCCCCACCTGCCATGCCATGTGGCAAGGATCGAGTGGACTGATAATTCTGCCATGTAGCAACTTTCCCTTTCCCGCTCAGCGGATCTGCCTTGACGTATGCTGAATGGAATTGAATCCTATGGTTTCCGCCTCAGGTAAACAATCAACCGCCCCACAAACCAGCCGGGCAACAATCAGGGCAAATCACCCAACAACTGGGCAAACAACCAACCGCCCAACCAACCAACAAACCAACCAAACAAAAAAACGCTCAACGAAACAAACAAACAAACAACCAACTGCCCAACTAACCGACTAACTAACCAAGCAACCAACCAACCAACCGACCGGCCGACCGACTGGACAACCGACCGACTAACCGACCAACCAACCGACCGACCGACCAGGCAACCGACTGGCTAACTGGCCACCCAAAGCTCCCGTAACAGCTACATTCACAACTGACACAACTGCCAACGAGGACTTAAAGCACGTAGCTACCAGATAACTAGTGACCACCAACGAAAACAATGCTTCGTCCCCTTCAAACAGTAGAGCCCACTCCCCGATTCTGAGTCCCGCTCGGTGCTCGGGCCATCCGGGGCTGCTGAGTCAGGGGAGGAGGGAGGGAGGTCCGAAGGAAAGACAACGGGCACCGGAAGGAAGACTGGGGATGGGAGGAAGAGTGCGAGGAGGAGGAGGACCAGAAGGAGGGAAGGGAGTAGGAGGAGGAGGAGGAGGAGGAGGAGGAGGAGGCGGAGGAGAAGGAGGAGGCGGAAGAGGAGGAGGGCAGGAGGGGGAGGAGGAGGAGGGAGGAGGAGGAGGAGGAGGAGGAGGAGGAGGAGGAGGAGGAGGAGGAGGAGAAGCAGAAGGAGGAGGAGGAGGAGCCTCAGGAAGGGGAGGAGGAGGAGAAGGAGGAGGAGGAGGGGGAGGATGGCAGAAGTGCCCCGATCCTGGTTCACGAGGCAGTTCGCTGGCTTCAGGTCTCGGTGGTAGATGCCTGCGGAGTGAAGGTACTTGATGCCGACCTCACTGAAGGACGCGCAGGATGATGATGGCGATGCTGCTGATGATGCTGATGATGCTTATGATGATGATGTCGATCATGCTGCTGATGATGATGACGATGATGCTGATGATGATGACGATGATGATGCTGATGATGCTGATTATGATGATGATAGTGAGGATGACGATTATGATGATGATGATGATGAGGAGGAGGAGGATGATGAGGATGATGATGAGGATGATGATGATGAGGAATCTGAACTGATTGCGGGAAAACAGCTTCGAGGGTCTGCACCTCCGCTGCGCAACGCACCAGACACAGCGGGTACAAAGGATCATACATATTGATGTACGAAACCTGGGGCACGCCTGTCGTCGATATTCGAGCTTCATGAAGCGCCCCCGAGCTTCTGTGGTTCCCCCAAGGGCCATCGAAGGATAAGAAAGCTTAGTGGGACACCTGCCGGCAGGCTATCTTTCTGCTTGACGCGCCTACCGTCCTGCCGCCACCGCCACCAGTAAGTACGTCGCAGCGCGCCTGCGGAGTGAAGGTGCTTGATTTCGACCTCACTGAGGGACTCGCAGGAGGGAGCAAGGGCTCCCAACTTCGCGCTTCGCGCTGCGCGGAGCGCGAAGTGCGAATCATCTCGCGCTCTCGCGCCGCCCCCCAGGGGAGAAGAGGAGGATGAGGAGGAATCGGAGCCGAACCGCGAAGCGCGAAGCGCGAAAAACTTCGCGCCCTCGAGGGCGCCCTTGAGGGAGGGAAGGACGGGACGGAGGCCTCTCCATCCCCACCTCTCTTCCCTCGCTCCCTCGTCCGTGCTGCTCGCCCCTTTTTCCCTCCATGCCGCACCAGCAGGTTGTAGAGAAGCGTGTGGATGTGGTTCGGCTCCAGCTGCACGTCCGTGCGGCAGAGTTTCTTCAGGTCGGAGTCGCAGATCTCCATCACCTGAAGGATGGGGTGACCCTCGTCTCCACCACCTCCTCTTCATCACACCCTTGAAGAAGCACCGCTGGAATAATGCCCACACAAGCACGTAGCGCTTTCGCGCTTCCCGTGCTTTCGTTGAAGAGTTCAGGTGCGCAGCAATAGCAATGGTGTGTTCGGCGAGCCGAGGCGAACATCGTCTGGTCCAGCATCCAAGGGCTAGTCGGCAGCTCTCCGATAACTGCCGTTCACTGCACCCCCAAACTACGACCTCAGTACCGAGCGGACGGCCCCCTGTTAAGAGAATCTCGCTTACCTCTTGTTTCCCTCCTCCCCTCGTCCGTTGCCCCTCCTTCTCTTCATGTTCATCCTTCTCTCCTCCTCACCCTGCTCCTTCTCCTCCTCCTCCTCCTCCTCCTCCTACTCCTCCTTATCATCCTCGTCGTCCTCCCCTCCTCCTCCTCCTCCTCCTCCTCCTCCTCCTCCTCCTCCTCCTCATCATCATCATCATCATCATCATCATCATCATCATCATCATCATCATCAACATTATCCTCATCCTCATCCTCATCCTCTTCCTGCTCATCCTTCCTCCATCCTTCCGCGCGGCACTGTCTTCCTCATTCAAATGCGGGTGTCCATGTAGAGCTCGTCAAACGTTTCCATGTTGTCGGGCGCCACTATGTCGTAGATCTGCACGACGCTCTCATGGCCTCAGCGCTTGCCAGTCGCGGAGGGTGGCCGCGTGAGAGAGACAAACAGAAGCGATGCGATTGCACTGACTCACAATCTGGCCAGCTTCGACGACGAGAAGACGCCAGGGCCAGAGCGAGGCCGGGATCGGTCAGCCTCGGATCGAGCAGTCGGATCGAATAGGAACACGCGTCGGCTCGGGCCGCGTCGGCCCAGAGTCGAGATCGGATCGGACCGGCTGCGCAAGGATGCACAGCAGCGCCATGCAGGCATCGGACCGCGCCGGATCGCCGGATCGTCTTGACGGCGAGCGAGGGGGGGGAAAGCGAGAAGGAGGAGGCCTTCTCTAAAGGCGGCGGGGCTTCTCAGAAGCCCTCCGGCCTTCTGAGAAGTTCTCGCGTCTGCGGGGAAGGCTTAGAAAGCTACTCAGAAGGCCAGGAGACTACCGAGCCTTCTGAGAAGGCCCGCCCCTTCTCACTTCCCCCTCCAGGCTCGCCGCCGAGCACCGGAATCGAATCGGACAGGGCCGGCCCGATCCGATACCGAATCGAATCGGTCACAGTCCTGTGTTCACAGCGTGGGCCCCCAGGGGTCTAGACCATTATCCCTGGGGCCAGTTCTGCATCCCGAGCGGTTTTGTTGGCGCCCCCGAGGCCCACAGAGAGGCCCCCCGAGGCAGAAAAGTGGGACGGGAGTGGTGTGTCGCCGCGCGGTTTGGCCTCGACGCGCCCAAGTGGACGACGCCGACACCACGGCAAACCCACAGCACACCCTGCGCCCCGCGCCAAACCAGACGACGCCGGCACCGCGGCAAACCCACGGCGAACCCACTGCGTCCGAGGCGGCGTTTGCCCTGGTGGCCGCGGCGCCCTCCACAATACGTAGGGCCGCGCGTCGGAACCAACGGCGCGGTGGCATGTCATGATAAGATTGGCTCAGGATACGTTTCAGGATTTCCAAGAGTATCTAGCAGCCCTCATTTATGCAGCCGCATGAGGAACAGAAGGAAATTCTGGAGATCCTGGAAATCCAAGAGCGTTTCATTATCATGGCCTCTTGCTCCTCTGAGAAAGAGCCAAAAAGCCTTCTACCATGCTTTTTCCCCAGCTAGAGGAGGGGGGGAGCACGGCAGAAAAAAACTCTGGTCCGAAGAAACCGCCACCCTGCACGAGCATCGCCCGTCGTAATCTTTTCGAAGCGAGGAGTCTTGGAGAGGAGGAGCAGGAGGAGGTGGAGGAGGGCATATATTTCTCTCTGAAGGTCTGCATGTTGCCCAATTGCGGGATGCACACCTTCGAGGCCGAAGGAATCTGAAGGAGGAGGAGGAGGAGAAGAGGAGGAGAAGGAGCAGGAGCAGGAGGAGGAGGAGGAGGAGGAGGAGGAAGTGGAGGAGGAGGATGAGGAGGAGAAGGAGAAGGAGGAGAAGAAGAGGGAAGGAAGGAGGAGGAGAGGAGGAGGAGGAGGAGGAGGAGGGGGGGGAGGAGGAGGAGGAGGATGAGGAGGAGGAGGAGGAGGAGGAGGAGGAGGGAGGAGGGAGGAGGGGAGGAGGAGGCCGTGATGACGAGGGAGTACGAGGGGAGGGAGGCGGAGGAGGTGAGGACGAGGAGGAGGAGGAGGAGAGGAGAAGGAGAGCAGGAAGATGAGGAGAAGGATGAGGAAGGTGGAGGGAGGAGGAGAGAGGAGGAGGAGGGAGGAGGAGGAGGAGGAGGAGGATAGGTCAGCGGAAGAAGAAAACGTGAGGAGGGAGGAACAGGAGGTCAGGAGGAGGAGGAGGAGGAGGAGGAGGAGGAGGCGAAGATGGAGGGGAGACGAGGTGAGATGAGGTGGAGAGGGAGGAGGAGGAGGAGGAGGAGGAGGAGGAGGAGGAGGAGGAGAGGAGGAGGAGGAGGAGGAAGGCTCCCCGACGAGCGGCGCGCACGGCAGGGAGGCCCCCGGTCCGAGGAAGCCGCCACCCGAGCCCGGAACCGGGGGGCACGCGAGAGCCTGGCAGCGGGCGTCTCTTCCTCCCCTCCTCTCCTCCTCCTCCTCCTCTCCTCCTCAACCTCCTCCCTCTCTTCTTTCCTCCTCCTCCTCCTCCTCCTCCTCCTCCTCCTCCTCCTCTTCCTCGTCCTCCTCCTCCTCCTCCTCCTCCTCCTCCCCTCTCCGTCCTCACCTTCCTCCTCCCTCAACCTCCTCCCTCTCTTCCTCCTCCTCCTCCTCCTCCTCCTCCTCCTCCTCCTCCTTCTCCGATCTCAAACCTCCGACCGCGGCGCTCGTGCTGCCGCTCAAGCACGCCAAGCCCCGAGGCGCCGGTGCCGCGAGGCGCACGCCCCCCGCGCGAGCGAGGGCGCCCGCGCGCCGCCTCGAGCCGCGCGCCGCCGCCCGCTCGAGCAGCTGCACAAGTCCCAGGATCCCCGCCGACGCCGACGACGACAACGACGCCGACGACGGCGATGACGACGCCGACGACGACGGCGATGACGACGACGATGACGACGACGACGACGACGACGACGGCGATGACGACGCCGACGACGACGACGATGACGACGGCGATGACGACGGCGATGACGACGCCGACGTCGACGAAGACGACGACGACGACGACGACGACGACGACGACGACGACGACGACGACGACGACGACGACGACGACGACGACGACGACGACGACGACGACGGCGGCGGCGGCGGCGGCGGCGGCGACGGCGACGCCGACGCCGACGCCGACGCCGACGCCGACGCCGACGCCGACGCCGACGCCGACGAACGACGACGGCGTCGACGACGAACGACGACGGCGTCGACGACATCGACGACGAACGACGACGGCGCGGTAGTACACAAATCCCAGGATACCCCCCCGACGCAGCGAGCCCGAGATGCGCTCCTTGTAGGACCAGGTCCCTGCGTTTTCGGCCGTCCAGGCAGCAGGTGTGCCCAAATACGAGGCTGGAGGAGGAGGAGGAGGAGGAGGAGGAGGAGGAGGAGGAGGAGGAATAGGAGGAGGAGGGAATATGAGGAGGAGGAGGAATATGAGGAGGAGGAGGAATAGGAGGAGAGGAATATGAGGAGGAGGAATATGAGGAGGAGGAGGAGGAAAATGAGGAGGAAAATGAGGAGGAATATGAGGAGGAGGACTATGAGGAGGAGGAATATGAGGAGGAGGAATATGAGAGGAGGAGGAGGAGGAGGAGGAGGAATATGAGGAGGAGGAGGAGGAGGAGGAGGAGGAGTGACGTTCAATGGATTATTCTCCCCCCCCCTGGGCGCCCGCCCCCGCCCCCGCCGGGGCGCCCGCCCGAGCGCGAGGACGACATCGCGCGGCAGCGCCACCGGACAGACACGAATCGCAGGATCAGAGGATCCCAAGGCACAGATCCCAGGATCCACAAAATAGACACAGATCCCAAGATATGAGGAGGAATATGAGGAGGAGGAGGAAAATGAGGAGGAATATGAGGAGGAGGAGGACTATGAGGAGGAGGAATATGAGGAGGAGGAATATGAGGAGGACTATGAGGAGGAGGAGGAGGACGAATCCCAGGATCAGAGGATCCCAAGGCACAAATCCCAGGATCCACAAAATAGACACAGATCCCAGGATCCACAGGATGTCCTGGATGCTCGCCCCACTCCACTCCCCATACCCACAAAATAGACACAGATCCCAGGATCCACAGGATGTCCTGGATGCTCGCCCCACTCCACTCCCCGTACCTCCGCCCTGCTGTCCAGGGGATCGGCGATTCTCTGCGTCTGCGTGCCTTTTCCCCTCCCGAATCTACCGGCCCGCGGCCTAACTTCCGCAGGATCGCGACCTCGCGCAGGATGCGCTTGCAGTCGATCAGGTCGTCAAAGAGGTGCCCAATCCTGCGCGCGACGCAGCCGGGCTTCCAGGGGGCCAGACGTGGAACACTTCGGTAGAAGAACAAACAGACATCGGCATAAGCTCAATCTTTGAAGGTCCACTCGGATTTCTTGGATCGGCGCTAGACCCTCCTCCCTGGCGCGCGGGGCGCGCCCGGGGCGGCGCTAGAGGCACCGCCAGGGGGGTCCAGCGCAAATCCAAGAACTCTGGGCGGATCTCCGAAGGTTAAGCTTATGCCATTGTTTGCTGTTCGCCTCGAGGTTCCCGAAAAAGATCAGGACCCCTGGATGGAGGCCCGTCCGAACACCGCAAAATCCTCACTGGGATGCTCGGGGGGTCCTCCCTCCCTGTGAGCAACCTCCTATTACGGATTTCGGGAGAGGGAGGAATATGAGGAGCGGTCGGAGGAGCAGAGGGGCGAGGAGGATCTGAAATAGCTCGACCCTAGGCCACGCACGAGAGCCCTGTCCGATTGGGAAGAACGCCCTGTTCAATGGCAAGAAGAGCCCTGGCTCACGTAGCCGCGCTGTGCGCGATGCTGTTAACCAGAATGGTGGCGCCACTGACGAGCCCCCGTGTGAGCGGGAAGTCCATCCAGAGTCGTGCACACGTGAGCGAGCCAGGACTTGGCTGCTCACGCTGGGGACCTTCCTAGAGCCGCCCGCTCCGCTCGTAGGTCGGAGCTCCGTCGAGGGCCCGTCGATTCGGGTCGACCGTGCGTCGAATCTGAGTCGAACCTGAGTCGAATTTGAGTCGAACTTGAGTCGAACTGGGGTCGAACTGGAGTCGAACAGATCCGTTTGGTGGGCCCCAGGAAGGTCCCCCCAAACGAGCACCTAACAGGACATGTGAACATGCGCGCCCTCCGTGGTCCTGCGTGCACGGGCGTCCGCGCTCCAACGCAGTCAAGCGGAAGCTGACCGCCTTGGCCTCCGCTGCCTGAGCACGGTACAGGAGGGGGAGAATTCGGAGATGGTCGCACGCGGACCGTCGGACACAAAAACGAGCCTTGCCTCAAACATCCGCGAGCCGGCCTCGAGACAACGAGGGGGCCCAGGGACACGCAGATCAAGAGGCACAGCTCCCAGGGCTCCCCCTTCGTTTCCACGTGTTCTGGGTCTTCGCCTTCCCCCCCCCCCTCATGCCCACGTTGCCCACGCCGTCCTGGGCATCGACGACTGGTCGTGTCTGGGTGTGGCTTCTCCCCCTCCCGAGACCTCGCCATCGCTCGGACGTCCATTCCCTGTGGCTTTGTCGGCTTCGTGCGTGGTTTTTTCGCCGAATGATCAAGGATGCTCCTCGATGGTCCTCGCCGAGAAAAAAAAACACGTCCGAGCGATGCCGAGAGACAAAGAGGACCGCCAGAGGCCGAGCCAGGCCCCTCGAGGCCCGCGGCTCCTCCACGACCCGCGCGGCGGCCCGGCCCCGAGGGGCAACGCTGGGGGGGGGGGGGGGGCAGCCCAGGGGGAGAGGCATCGGGCCCAGGGGCGCCGAATCATACGAGGGGGCCCAGGGGCGCACGAATCCCCCGGTCCCCGCACAGCTTTCCACAGATCCTAGACGATCCGCTTCCCCCCCCCACTTCCCATGTTTTCCCACATTTTCCGGGGCGGCGACGACTGCTCGTGCCTGTGCTTTTCCCCCTCCTGAGATTGATCGGCGATGGGCCCCAGGTGGGTTGGGCTATCGGGCCCCTATCGGCGATGAGTGGGCGATTGGGGGTTGATGCAACCCCCCCGAGGCTATCCCCCCAAACGTTGTCACTGAAACCCTGGGGACGGAATTACTTTAGAAGACTACATGCTCGGAGACATCTCTCCTTACGCCACACCAAGGCCCCAAGAACAACCGAAAGACAAACGAAACCTCTCGCGCCCAACCCCGTCCGCCTCAGCGGACATGTGGTCCGAACGCCCCCACCATAAAACCCTAAACGGGCTCGCGACGAGGGGGGGCCTGGGGTGATTCACTCCTTCAGTTGGAATTTTATGAAGGAAAATGGATGGAGCCTGGTTTGGGCAATTCTGCGTGGGACGTCCTCAAGGTCTGCCTGGCTTGGACCCTGGTTTGGCCTGGTTTGGCTTGGCTGGGCAGCGCAAACCGCCTCAGACATCCTCCGAATTTGCTTGGTTTGGCCCCTGGTTTGGCGTGGTTTGGGCCCGTCGCCTGAGAAGTCCTCACAATTTCCCTGGTTTGGCCTGGTCTGGCCCTGGTTTCGCCTGAGACGTCCTCGCAGTTTGCCTGGTTTCGCATTGGTTTCGCCTGGTTTGGGCCCGGCTTCGCCTGAGACGTCCTCGCAATTTGCCTGGTTTCGGCGCGGTTTCGCCTGAGACGTCCTGGCAATTTGCCTGGTTTCGCATTGGTTTCGCCTGGTTTGGGTTTGGTTCTGCCTGAGACGTCCTCACAATTTGCTTGGTTTCGCATGGTTTCGGCGCGGTTTCGCCTGACACGTACTTGCAATTTGCCTGGCTTCGCTTTGGTTTTGCCTGGCTGGGGCCCGGTTTCGCCTGCGACGTCCCCTCTCCCGAAGGGGGGAAGCGCCGCCCTGGGGGCACTCGCTGCATGCGCAAGGGCGAGTGGTCGGCCAGACCAAGACACTAGCCAGCGATGAGGCGCGAACCAAGGAATGGCCAGCGTTCGGGCGAGAGCGCACGTCAACGTCGTCGTCGTCGTCGTCGTCGTCGTCGTCGTCGTCGTCGTCGTGATGGTCGTCGTCGGCGTCGTCGTGATGGTCGTCGTCGGCGTCGTCGTCGGGGGGCCCGGACGCTCCGAGACACCTTGTATTCTGTCACGCAGTGCAGGGAAGTCGAGGGCCATTCACTCACACACGCTGTGGGCGTAGGCATTCGGAACGTAATGTCCCCCGGGGTGCTCCCGAGACACATCGGGTGCTGTCGATGTGTGGGTATGACGGCGAGCTGACATTTCACGCACGTCGTGGGCGCAAACACGCGAAACAGGACGGACTGTACTGAACACACATGCTGGCCCACGTACTGCACTGTCGTGCCACAGTCTAACAGGGGCAGTGGGTGTGGACCCCCGAAGTGCGGGGTCCCGGCCTCTGCGCCACACCGCGCAACCATCGCTCACACAACGCCTCCTGTTGTGCGGCAGTGCACCCCGTGGCGGCGCCGGGAGAGAACCTGCTCCCAGCCTGCAGCAGAAGACGCAGAAGCACATGCGCGAGCGTAAACGTTGCGACGCTCCGCCACGCCACGGGAGGACTGGCTCAAGGGGGGGGCGCATCGACCCCACATCGCGCACCCATCGCCGAGGGGCGCCCAAGAGCTCGTCCCGGCCGGGAGCTGCGGCCCCGCCCTCGGGGGCCCACCGCCGCTCCATCGGCGATGCCTCGCCGGCCCCAGCTCGCGCGCAGAGCGTCGCAAGCTCGCGTTCGTGCTCCTGCCGCCTTCCTTCTCCGAGGGACACGGCGCGTGCACGCGTTCGATCTCCCACGCCCCCCCCGCGCCGTCAGCGCCCCTGGCGCCAATGTGGCCAACCCCGCGGCTCGCCCCGAACGCCGCACAAGGGGGGCCACCAAGACTGAAGGGGCCCAGGGACACACAGAGAACTGTGCACAAATCCCAGGATTCCCCATATGTTGGAAGTTCGTCTTCCCCCCCGCTTTCCCATACTTTCCCACATATCCTCTGGGAAATCGACGATTCACTGTGTCTGTGTTTTCTTCCCCCTCCTGGAAGACGCGCGGGCGAGGCGCGCGGGTCGTGCTGGTGGCCGGCGGCACCCCACGCGCAGAGCCTCGTCGCCGCGCAGCTGGAGCGCGGCGTCCACGCTCGCGGGACACACGGCTCGTGCCGTCGCCCCCCCTGTTGGTTGAGCCGGGGCCGACCGCCCCGGCATTCCTAGAAGATTAAAGTCGGGCCTGTCCCCCTACAGGGGGGCTTTCGACGAAAAATAAAAAATACCCCCAAAGTAATCATAAAATAGTCCAAAAATAGTCGGGGGACTATTTTTGGAGTATTTCTGGACCTTCTTGGAATCTTTGTGGGGTATTTTTTTCGTCGAAACTCCCCCTGTAGGGGGACACGCCCGACTTAGGCTTACCACGACATGTTCTTAGAACCCAAACATGCTGGAATAACAAAAACAAGGTTCTGAGGACATATAGCCCGACGTGATAACACAAGCCAGTTTCCGCCAGAAATGCTCTTGGAACACCTCGCGCGAGCCACAAGATACGCAGGAGGCATCTATACACCACCACCGTGCCAAGCTAGAACCATCCTGGCCCTGGCATGGTGTATACGCCCTCCTGGCTGAGGCCAGGAGGCTCTATACACCATCCTAAGGCCCAGGATGGCCCTGCCCTGGCACGGTGGTGGTGTATAGATGCCTTCGTCGGACAAGAGGTTCTTCATGAGCACATTCTCTGGCAGGCCCATGCGCGACCCGAGGCGCTTCGCCGCTGCTCGCGCCCGGCCTCGGCCCTGCAGGCCTCGTGCTGCCACAGCGGGCGCACACGCACACGAGCGACGGGGGCGTGTCCCGGCCACGGCGGGCCGGGGGCCGCCGTAAGGCTCCCGAGGACACGCGTCGACGGCGCGGCCCGAAGCTCGGAGGCCCTCCCGAGCTCCCTTCACCAGCCTCGAACTGATCCCTATCCCTGAGATTGACACGCCAAGAGGCGATGACAATCTTAGGGATGCACCCTCAGAAACTGAGGGATCCCCCAAGGCCGCCCTCGTGGCGAGGCGATGCCCAACATCGGGAGTGGGAGAGGCTCCAGGCTGGTAACCCCTCTCGTGCCCCCCACCCCTCCAAGGCCTTGCCCACCCCACGCCTCTCGCCCAAGCGGGCGCCCACCGCCGTCCACCGCCGCCCCCTCGGCAGAGCCGGCCGCGCCTCTCGGCGGCCCCTCTCCGGCCCTGGACGCCCAGGGCTGGGACGGCTTGCGCCCCACCGCCACCAAGGCCACTACCCCCTGGAGTCTGGCGCCTCACTTTTGTCGAGCTGGTCGTTTGCGCTCGGTTTCGGGCCCCGGGGCCCTCGCGGACCGATCCAGCTCGAACAGCGGTACAGAAAGATGAGGTCTGGGGCTCCGGTCGTGATCTTTCATGGTGCGGCAACTGTTTCGCTACGTCGGATCTCAGGGCCACCTCCCGTCGCATTACACTCCTCCGCGCTGGCCGGGCGGGTCCTCTTGATGGCAACCAACCGGTTGTTGATGTTGTCTCTGGCCTCGCAGACGCTGCCGTAGGAGCCGGAGCCGATGAGCTGCTTCACCTCGTTGGGAACGGCAGCGCAGGGAGGGGCCAGAACTTGTGACGTCACATGTTTACGTCGCGGCGTGGCAGAGGCAGTCCGCACGCGCGCTCAGGCGGTCCGGACAACGGAAGGCGCAGATTAACCCGCGGCAGGATGCGGACGAGCGAAAGCGGTCGCGAAGGAGGAGGGGGGGGAGGGCACTCACGGCCCAGAACAGGCACATCCCAGAACAGTCCCAGCTTGCACGGCGCGGGTGAGGAGTGAGGTGAGGAACACAAGGAAGCAGAGGGAGAGGATGAAGAGGGGGGAGAGGGGCAGGGGAAGAGGGGAAGAGAGAGAAGGAAGAGGAGGAAGTGGAGAAAGAGAGGGAAGAGGAGGAGGGAGAGGGGCGAGGAAGAGGGGGGACAGGGAGGAAGAGGGGGAAGAGGAGGTGGAAGAAGAGGAGGAAGAGGGGGAGGAGGTGGAGGAAGAGGAGGAAGAGGAGGAAGAGGGAGACGAGGAGGAGGAGGAGGGCGAGGAGGAGCAGCAGCGGAGTGACGGACAACGACGGGAAAGACGAGGAGGACGAGGACTGGAGTAGATCGAAAATGCATCAACGATGCTGCAAAGAATCCTCTCGTCCCAAGTCCCTTCTGAATGAGTTCCTACACGTGAGCGGCGATCATACGCGAGATGACGTAGCGACCTTACGCGGTGGCTTGCGCAGGACGCCCGCGCGACACGCCACATCTGAAGCGAGGGCGCTTACGCGCGACCTTACGCGGGCAGCTTACGCGCGAATGTCGGCGCAGACGACCCTGCTTTTTTGCGTCGCTCAAGTGTTCTTCTCCACTGCGGGAAGCGCCGCCTCTGACAGACAGCCGCCATGTCGGCCTGCCATGCAGGCAGGGCCCCGTTACGTACACCACGCGAAATGGTTAAGAAATCATGGGTTAAGAAATTCATGGTCTCAGAACTTGAATAAAAACCCAACATGTCTATCAAAATCTTAGGATGCACATTGAAACGTTAAGAATAATCGAGACTCTGGCCGAAAACTTCAGTTTTCTTACGCATCGCCTAAGGTGTACACCCACCATCCTTCTTGCCACAGGGCATGCAGAGAGGCAGAGGGCAATCAGGCTCGAGGACGTGCCCAAGGAGAACTGCGCCTTGGAGCACGTCCGCCCTCCACCCTTTGCATCTGGAGAGCGGGACGCCCTCCGTCCGTGCGCCTGCCGGGTGTCTTTGAGACAGGTGAGCGCGGCACCGATGCGGGATCCCCACTTTTGAAAATCCCCCTCCTCCTCCTCCTCCTCCTCCTCCTCCTCCTCCTCCTCCTCCTCCTCCTCCTCCTCCTCTTAGCTATCTCCTCCTCCTCCTCCTCCTCCTCCTATCTATCTCCTCCTCCTCCTCTTCCTCCTCCTCCTCCTCCACGGATGCGGCACCGATGCGGAATCCCCCGTGCTCAAGCCCGTGCAGCTGCCGGAAGGCAGCTCCGGGCCACTCGTGTGGAGCTCCGAGGTCGTACGCGGTGAGGCGGTCTCCGGCGGAGCGCCCAGCCCGCCGTGACGGCGCGTCTGGTGATGCGACGAGGGGGGCACTGTTAGATCAGGATGAGGGCTGGAGGACGAGGACGAGGAGGGCGAGAAAGATGTATCAGCGATGCTGACGAGGACGAGGAGGACGAAGATGGAGGACGAGGACGAGGAGGACGAGGACGAGGAGGACGAAGATGGAGGACGAGGACGAGAGGACGAGGACGAGAGGACGAAGACGAGGAGGACAAGTCACCCTCCCGTCCCGAGCTCCCGCCTCAGGGACCCTACATGGCATCCCCTTCTCTACAAGAAGCGCCCCCTGAAAGACGGACCATCCGATGGGCCCAAGCTCAGGCAGGCGTTCATGGCCCATGAGGAATGCGAGAAGGTAGGAGCAGAAACTTCGACGAGGTGCCCAGAGAGAGAGAGAGAGAGAGAGAGAGAGAGAGCCCCGTCTTGCAGACGAGCCGCCCCACTTCCGTGCAACTGCCGCACGCGACCGCAGAGATCGCTGCAGATGGAACGAGACGACTTTTCCCAGCGCGGCCGCGAAGGGGCTCTCCGAGCTATAGCGACGCCTCCTGCGGGCGAGCAGCTTCAGATATTCAAGGTCTTCGCGTCTTCGATGCAGCTTTCGCATGACATCCAAGTTCTGGAAGGTTCCACAATTCGCAAGGAATCGAAGCTCTACCCTGAGATTCAAGCTGAGGCATACAGGTTACCAGCTGCACGGGGTCTCCAAGGCTCCGATTCCTTCCCCGGCGGCGAGCCCCGGGGGAAGTGAGAAGGAGAAGGCCTCTCCGGAAGGTCCGGGTGTCCCCCGGCCTTCTGAGACCTTTTGTGAGCCTTCCCCGAAGAGACAGAGAACCTCTGAGAGGGCGCGAGGCCTTCTGAGAAGTCCCGCCGCCTTCTGAGAAGGCCTTTTCCTTCTCGTGTCCCCCCCTCGCTCGCCGCAGACATATTGTCGACTGCACGGCGAGGAGGAGGAGGAGGAGGAGGAGGAGGAGGAGGGGGAGGAGGGCGAGGAGGGCGAGGAGAAGGAAGTCTCCAAGATGCCGACCCTGTCGCCAAGGCCGGCTTTTGCTTTTCATGCCGAACCTCTGCCTGACGGCCCTCAGCGGCCGACGAGGGCGGCCTCAGGGTGCCAGCAGCGCCAGCAACTCTTCTTTTTTTCCAGCAGCGGAACAGAACCTCTGGCAAGCCACACACATCTCGCACAGCAGCTGATCCAGCAAGCCACGCACATCTTATACAGCAGCTGGCGCTGCGAACCAGACAGCTTCGCCAGGGAAACCGCGAGCCACTGCTGGAACGACGAGGAACGAGGACGAGGACGAGCAGGAGAAGACGGACGAGGAGGAACGACGACGACGCCGGTGGCGAGGACGAGGAGGGAAGACGGGGACGAGGACGAGGAGGAGGAGGAGGAGGAGGAGGGGAGGGCGGTGCGCGCGGCTGGCGGCCTGCCAGAAACTCCAGACTCTGTCGGATGTGCCTCATTATCCGCTACGCGGGCACGCCTCCTCCTCCTCCTCCTCCTCCTCCTCCTCCTCCTCCTCCTCCTCCTCCTCCTCCTCCTCCTCCTCCTCCTCCTATTGTTCGCTGCGCGGGCACGCCGAGCACGCCCGGGGCCCGGCCCGCACCGCGCGTGCGCCACCGCGGCCGCGCCCACGCCCTGCCCTGAGCTCTGGGCCCGCCGCTCTCAGGGCGCGACTTCGGATGGGGGGGCGGCGGGAGCCTTCTCCCCCCTGCTCCTCCTCCTCCTCCTCCTCCTCCTCCTCCTCCTTCTCCCCTCCTCCTCCCTCCTCCTCCTCCTCCTCCTCCTCCTCCTCCTCCTCCGCCTCCTCCTCCGCCTCCTCCTCCTCCTCCTCCTCCGCCTCCTCCTCCTCCTCCTCCGCCTCCTCCTCCTCCTCCTCCTCCTCCTCCTCCTCCGCCTCCATCCTCCTCCTCCTCGCTCCTCCTCCTCCTCCGCCTCCTCTCCTCCTCCTCCTCCTCCTCCTCCGCCTCCTCCTCCTCCTCCTCCTCCGCCTCCTCCTCCTCCTCCTCCTCCGCCTCCTCCTCCTCCTCTGCCTCCTCCTCCTCCTCCTCCTCCTCTTCCTCCGCCTCCTCCTCTGCCTCCTCCTCCGCCTCCTCCTCCGCCTCCTCCACCTCCTCCTCCTCCTCCTCTGCGTTCAATTTCCGCCCGCCCCACTTTGCAGTCGCTGTCTCCGCAATGCCTCTTCGGAAATCTCCACCCTACTCTTCTGAGGCGGAAAAACCCGCCCTAGTCTTCTGAGGGTGAAGGGCGACGACGATAACGACGACGACGACGACGACGACGACGACGACGACGACGACGACGACGACGACGACGACGACGGCGGCGGCGGTGGCGGCGGTGGCGGCGACGACGACGACGACGATGGGGAAGGGCCGCGGCAGCGGCAGCGGCAGGGGGAGCGCGGTCGCGCGCGCGCGCGGCTGCCTCGTACTGCTTGGGAATCTTCCAGCGGTCCGCGGGGTTCTTCGGTATCTGGGGGGCGGCCTTCTCCTTCTGGCGGCGCGGGGCGCGGGCCGGCCCGGGCCTGTGCGGCAGGCCTGCGCGGCACGGGGCTGCAGGGCCGCAGGCTCCAGGCAAGCTGCGCTGCCCCGCGAGGGAGAGACGACGACGACGCCGACGACGCCGACGACGACACCGACAACGACGACGAGGAGGAGGAAGAGGAGGAGGAGGAGGAGGAGGAGGAATTCACGGAGAATGACTGCGTGGTTAGGAGGAGGAGATGATGATGGTGATGATGATAATGCTGCTGGTGGTAATGATGAGGCTGATGATGTTGATGATGCTGATGATGCTGATAATGATGATTATGCGTATGATGATGATGGTGATGATGCTGATGATCATGATGATGAGGAGGAGGAGGAGGAGGAGGAGGAGGAAGAGGAGGAGGAGGAGGAGGAGAGCCGTTCTGGGCTCTCCCAAGGGGGGCAGGTTTTGCACGAACGTACTTCAGAGCGGCGCGCTCGTGCGTGCCAATTTGGCAGAAAGAGAGAGAGAGAGAGAGAGAGAGAGAGAGAGACAGAGACAGAGAGAGAGAGAGAGAGAACAATCATTCCGTACACAGGTGGGCTCCTGCGATGGCTCCGAGCGGGCCGCCTCGGCATGCCGCTCCCCCGCGCTCCCGGGGGCTTGGCGGTGGCAGTGCCCTCGGCGGCCGCGGCGGAGGCGGCTCGCGGTTCACGCCAGCGCCTCGGCACCAGCCGAACCAGCTGCCGCTGCCCAACGACGCCCTCATCCTGCCTGGCCCTCGCAAGCGGTTCTGGGGCTGCAGGTGCGGCGCCGACGGCAGCTGGGCTTGCAGGCTGGCCTGCCGTTCCCGCGGTCGGGCGGCGCCGACGTCGGTGCGCCAGCTCGCGTTCGAGAAGGCCGCCGGCACCCAGTCGGGCGACGGCCAGGCCACCGCAGGAGGAGCGCGCGACGGGGGGCGCCGCAAGGAGTTGCCGCGGGGCGGCCGAGAGGCGGACGCGCCGGGGACGCAGAAGCCGAAGGAGCCCGCGGCAGCTCCAGGCGGGGCCCTCAGCGAGACGGTCGCAGTGACTTGTCTGGCCTTGTTCGCGGACAAGGGCGTGGTCATCAGCGACCAGGGCCGCGCCGAGCTGGCCCCGCCGCCGCCGCCCGCCAAGGAGAGAGAGAGAGAGAGAGAGAGAGAGAGAGAGAGACGCCATAGAGGTGTCAGGAGCGCCCCTACACCTCCGGCCTTGCGCCGGGCTGTGGAAAACACAATGTCGTCGTCAAGCGTCGGTCCAGCGTTTGTGCTGTCCGCCTCGCTTTCTCGCAGCTGGCACCCTATGCCACGGCGCCCAATTGAGCGCTCTCCCACTCCACCGGCTGTCTGCGCAGACGGAGATCCTGTCGGCCAGGGCCTTTGTCGCCTTCCTGAAGAGCGCGGTCCAATCCTCCGCTCCGAACTTGGTGGCAAGCTCCTCGGTCATGCGAGTGGCCCTCTTGATGTGAGAGACCCACGATTCATCTGCTTGGCGCCCAACGCGTACCATTTTGCGCAGCATGCTGCGCTGTGTCGTTCGAAGTTTTTTCTCTTGGTCCACGGTCAGAGTCCAAGTTCTGGCGGCATACATCACGCTTGGGGTGACGCAAGCATGGGAGAAACGCATGCGATGCCGGAGAGGTAGACGTCGCTGGCACAGGATATCCGTCAAGCGGGAGAATGCTGCCCATCCAGCAGAAATTCGATGCGCGAGCTCTGTCTCGTAGAAAGTATCAAATTCAAACTTCCTGCCCAAGTATTTCTCTGACCCCCCCTGCTGAAAGACCCGAGCGTCGCGCCCCATGCATCTCACAGTTGACGGTCGCGGAACAGCGCTTGTGCGTATCATCGTCTTCCCCATGTGCACCTTTAAGCCGTGCTTGTTCGCCTCGCGCCTCTGTCTCCAGGTCCGCGATCATTCTGGCCACGTCCCTCTTGTTTATGCACAGCAGGAGAACGTCGGCCGCAAAGCGGAGGTTCGTGAGGGGCAGGTCCGGGGAGTCTATGACGATGCCGTAGTGCGGCCCCGTACGGCGTTCGTTCAGACTCTCCCATCGCGCCTTCAGCTTCCTGAAAATAGCCTCCATCACGACCACGAACAAGTAGGAGCTAATAGGGTCGCCCTGCTTGACCGCGCGTGAGATTTCAAGCCCGAGAGCTACTCCCAGGCCCTGCAGACCTGCATCTGGAGGTTGGAGAAGCTTGACAAGCAAGCGGCCGCGAAGGCTGCAGCGCACCCCAGGAGGCCTTCGAGCAGCTGCAGCTGGCGAAGACTGCCGTGGAGCAGGCTGCCGCGGCGCTCACAGCGGCTCGCCAGCGCCGGGCCGAGGGCCGCGAGGTCCTCGAGCAGGCCAAGCCGATGGAGCAGGCCGGCCCGCCGCCAGGCTCCAACTCGGCCCGCGGCGCCGAGCTGGCCAAGGCGCTCGCGGGCCTGGAGGCCCTTGCAGCCGTCACCGCTGAGGGCTCCGAGGCCGCCAGCATCGAGGCCTCGCGCGCGGCCCTGCAGCGGGGGGTCGACGCCATCCGAGCCGAGATCGCCGAGGCCGAGCGCGCGGCCGAGAGCGGCGAAGACGTGCCCATGGGCGAGCGGGCTGGGCCGCCCGGCCCGCCTGCTGCAGGGGCCCCTCCTGTTTCCGCTGCAGGTGGCGAGCGGCGCGGGGGCCCCGCGGGCCCAGAGGGCGCGGCCGCCGACCACGCGGCTTTCTTTGCCCAAGTCGGCCAACTCGAGGACGAGACCCGCCGCGAGCTCCAGGGGGCGCGCCAGGCCGCATGGGGTCGAGCTCCCAGCCGCCAAGCGCGCCCGTGGCTCCGACGGCCGAGGCCAAGAAGAGGCCGGCACAGGCTCGGCATGAAGTCGGGGCTTGGCGGTTGGACACAGCCCACGCCGCGTCTCGCGGCAGCATGATGCGCTGGCTCCAGGCGCGGCGCCCGAGGCCGAACAGGCCCGCCGCAGAGATGGCTGGAAGGTGATCTTCAACGAGTCGGTGCGCACCGAGAAGGGCGGCCTGTCCAGCGGCGTGGGCATCGGCGCGCGGGCGCACATTGGAATGGGCAGCGCGCCCAAGGGGCCCATGCTGCCTCGGGGCCGAGTGGTCGCGGAGTGGGTCAGCTGCGGGGTACCCGGCGGTTTCCTGGCGGCGTCGGTGCACCTCGTGGCTGCCAGGGGCCTCGACGCGGAGTCGAAGCTTGTTCTGGGGCAGCTGGGGAAGTACTCGCCTGCACCAAGGTGCTCTACGTCATCGGCGGCGACTGGAACTGCAAGCCCCATGAGTTGGAGCCCTGGGGCTGGCCTCAAGAAGTCGACGGCGCGGTCGCGGCGCCAGGCGTCGCCGCGTGCCGCGTCGGCTCAGGCCTGGAGATCGACTGCTTCGTGGTCTCGAGCGGCCTAGGCGGCAAGGTGAAAGGCCGCGGCAGGAAGGGCGCGGCGCTGGCGCCGCACTGACCCGCGCGGCCCCAGCTCAGCGAGAAGGGGGCTCCCGAACGCAGGCTGGTCCACATGGCGGCGCGGACGCTACCTGCGCAGCGGCCCGAGGGGCCGCGGCCCGAGCCTCCTGCCTGGGAGCCTTTTCTGGCGGCGAGCGCGCGCTGCGCTGGCCAAGCTGGGCGTCGTCGCAGGGCAGGTGGCTCCAGAGACGCCGACGGCGAGCTCGGAGGCGCCGCAGGTAATGGGCAGGCCGCCGACGCCGCTCGACCCCGACGCCCCTCAGTCAGTCTTCTTGGAGGGCGTCGAGGCTGCTGGGCCCAGGTGGATGCCATCGCTGCGCGACCCTGAGTCGGGTTGGTCGACTTGGGTGGAATGGTGCGAGCCCTACGTTGAGGCCCAGCTTCGGCGCGCGCCGCGGGCTGCGGGGCTGCCTAACGGGAGGACCATGCGCCAGCTCGAGCAGGACATCTGTTGCGCGGCCCGTCGAGGTGTGAGCTCCAATCGTCAGAACATCGTCGGCTACTTGGGGTGGCTTCAGGAGACCGGTGGGCCGCTCCGAGATGAGGTTCGTCGGATTTGGGACGGGCTTCGCAGGATTCGCGAGGAGATGAGGCGCGCGCCGGGCGATCGGGCGCCTTCGTCGGGGAGGTGCGTCGACGACCGCGACTACCGCTACGACGACGTGGGCGCAGGATCTACAGCTAAGGCGGCCACCTGTACTTCTCCTACAAGTGGCGCCGACCCCCTCAGCACGGCTGAGGCCAGAGCCCAGTTGCGCGTCGCCCTCGGGCGCGACGGCCTGGGTGGAGGCGCCTCCGCGTTGGGGGCGCGAGTGCGCGCCGCATGTGCATCGAATATTTCGGCTGGTGGGCTGGCCAGTGTCTTGGGCGAGGGCTATCACCTCCCAGTCTGCGTCAACGCGGAGTCGCCGAGGCGCCTCTGGGGGGACCTCGACGCGAGCTGGGCGGATGTCGCATGCGGCCTGTACGGGGGCACGGTGGACGACCCTGTCATGATCGACCTGGCGGTCGACGAGGACGTCCCGCTGGCTGGTTTGTCGGCCGCGGTGCCCGCGGGCCCTCCGAGCGCCGCGGGCCCTCGGGCCGCCGTCGGCGCTCGGCTGGGAGAGCGCGCCCTTGCTGATGGGACAACGTGGGCGGGGCCGCAGTCGACTGGAGGGGCGGCGTGTTGGTCTGGGCGAGGCAGGGGGCAGCTCTGCGGGCGCCCTATCACCCCGCCCCCGAGCCAGGGGCAAACGCGCGACCGCTTCAGCGTGATCGACCAGCTCGGCGGCGCGGGCGCGGCGCCGCGGCGGCTGCAGGCAAGGGGCGCAGGAGGCGGCGGCAAGGCTGGCGGCGGCAGGGTGCTGGACACGGTCGAGCGCCCCCCTCTCGGATCGAAGCGGCCAGTCCAGCATCCCCTGGTGGAGGGGGGGGGGGGGCAGGATTCAGCCCTGGCGCCCCCCCCCCCCCCCCCCCCCCCCCCTCGCCGCAGCCAGCCCCGGCGACGGCAAGGGCGGCCACTGACGATGCGGAGTTCTTGCAGCTGGGGCAGCAGGACCTGGCGAACCAGTTGCGCGGG